ACTAGACAAAACTATCAGATGAGCCGGTTTAAAAAAAATAAATAAGAGTGAACAGGGACCATCAAGATCACAAAGAAAGGCATCTCATATTACTCTCATTAGGAATTTCTTTGAAAGGAGTTTATGTCATAATGCATGCGGAATTCAGAACGTAATAATAAAAAAGGATTCTTCAAACAAGGAATTCCAGGAAATGACCCACTGCGGAGCTCTTCAGAAACATCCCAGGGAGCGCTGATATTTCATACAGCCTGTAATGATTGACTGCCGAGGGAGCATTGTGCAGGGGCTTTACGTTCTAGAACCAAAAATGCGGAGGGAACACATACAGTGCGGCAAGTGTGCTCTGTACAGAGAAAACAAGGCCATTTGTTCACCGTGGTTCACAATAAGCAAAACTTGTCAAATCTTGAAAGTGTGATGTTATTACGCAGTTTGCCAAGAAGTCACCCTGAAGCACATAACGTTTGATGGTTACACAATCCACCATCCTTCTTATTGTATTCTTTGTTGTGCCGAATTAAGAATGGGATTAAGGGAAAAACTGGAAGGCCGCCCTAAACAATGATGGCATGAAGCTGTAGCTATCAACACATTATAGTATTTAACTGTGTAGTGTAGTCCTTCAGTAGCTGTGATACTCTTGAATGGAGCAAGGCCTTGCTTTGGACCTACGTGTGGAACGTGTGCGGTAGGCATACGGGAGTCCTGGTGAGGCTTCTTTCTGTTTTAGAGGTTTCTAATCCGGGCCGGGCTGGTGACATCAGGCGTCTCCCCCGGTCGGCCCATGTGTTGTACCCGGCTCTCATTTCCTCTGCTGCGCGGACACCAGACTTGGTGGCCGGCACTGTTTGTTTTGCTCCGGACGTCCAAGTTGCTGATTAAAAACAGCCTGCCTAGTCTGGGGCCCGAATGGCAGTGCCAAGTCAGGGGGGTTTACACATGGACATAGCTGGGATACAGGCTCTCAGCAGCCCCTCTCCTCCCTGCTGGATCTCTGACTGGGCGGCACCATGTGACGAGGAAGTATGGCCCCTGTCCATTTCCCCTCCTGGCTGAAGGGAAACATTGTTGTGAAAAGTGGGATGGCTTTCTGCTGTGCTGCGTCACGAGTTAAAAATAACCGGCATACTTAAGGCGGCGGTGGAATCCCACAGCAGACAGAGGCCAGTGCGGCCGGTGGGCCTGCTGGATCTCTCTCCTCCGCCGAGCGCTGACGTCGTTGGGCCCAGCGTGACGCAAGCGCCGGAGCCAGGAAAGCAGGCACGCCGTAGGCCTGGCCAGGATCCACCGCGGAGCCTGTAAACACTCCAGCCGCTCCAGAGTGGGCCATTGCTCCAGCAAATTCCAGATCCAGCGCACTGTAAACTGCACAGATGCTAAGTCCAGGAGAAAAGAAACTTAAAAAATGTTTAGTAAAAATAAACCCGCAAAAGTACAGTCCTGTTAGGACACTATGTCCTGCAAACTCTGCTTCAAACAGCCCATGGATTGATTTTTTTTTAATCTATCTTTATTTCATAATAGAATTGCTATATAGTAAAGACACCAAGGCTTAATCACACATTTGTGGTAATTTATTATCTTACCCATTTATCAAAGGTATTAAAAGTGTGTTATTTTAATAGTTTTTAAACCCCTGTTTTAATTATGTATCGGTACCAAATACCTAACATACATGCTAGCAGACTAACAGGATGCTTTCACATTCATTCTTCTGGATCAGGACCTATTCTGGGTCTTCGCAGAGGTACAGTGTGTTCCCTTGCTGGTGCCAGTCTGGAACGGGCACTGTGTCATTAGTGTGTACCTGACCTCCCAGTACTGCTTGTCTACTGGACTTCCTGCTTTGCTGACACCCCATGTTCAAAAGATTACAACATCTCCGGGAATTAACCAAGTCTGTCAGTTGTCCGCTCTGCCGATTTACCATGAAGTGTTAAAACATGAGTTCCAAAAGCCACCGTGACCCAAATGGTGAATATTTACTGACTGCATTCGCCACGGTCAAAAATGCTACAGATCGCTGCTATATTAAGCTACATGTGTCAGTAGAAGCACTACAAATGAGTATATAAATGATATACCTTTTCTTCAGTTTTGAGACAGAGGGAAGGTTGACATAGTTTAAATGTTTCAAACTAAATGATTTAAACTAACCTTATATTCTTTTGCAAGTGAGTGCCTACCTAGGAATAATAATGTCAGACACATATAATTCTGTTTTATTTGCTAAATCATCAATGTAGATCTGTGTGTGTGTCAGAAAGTAGATCAAGAATATTGTGGTATTTCTATATTTGGTCTCCCGGCTTTTGCAGAATATCATGAGGATATGAACCATGACTAAGCCACTGTATTAAAGTCAACACAGTCACAATATGATATTTATCATAATAAAAGGGTATTTATAAACCAGATTCATGCCGCATTAGGAAGCATTCGATAGTGTAAGTTGGAAACTATTGTGGGTCGTTGCATCATGAGAGAGAACCTGCAGCCAAAATGCTCTGCCCAATGGAAAACAGTCAATTTTTATCATAGATATTCTCCTGTTTCCCATCACCAGATTAGAAAACAGCGACAACTAATTTGTGTAATTTCTGCGCAGGTGGATGTAACCCATCACCGTATGAAATCAACAGAGACTTTCTTTTATCAGGAAAACCACAGACCTACTGACATGGAGGTGAGAGACGGCACAAGAATCAGTTGTTTCATAGGAAAAGCTAAATGCGTAGGTAACTCTTGTTACAATATGACGTGCGTCTTCATGTCGCGATTTGACCAAGAGCCGTTGTGTGGAAGTTAACATTAGCACCATGGATCTCTAGAAAGAATGTCAGCCACCTGGCTCATCTAGTACCGCGGCAGGACTAGATCAAAAGGAACAGATTTCTCATTTTCCCTGAAGTCTTGTCCTGTCAGAATGCATCTACAGTTTCAATGACAATTAAGTGCTTACGCCTTAATAAAACGGTGTGTTACATATCTGATTTCAACAGGTTTTCATTTTTATTTAGCAACAATCTGATTGCGTAAAGGAATGTAAAACGGTAAGCTCTCTTTCTTAATCTTGCTAAAATATTATTCTTTATGCTCTTTGCAACTCAAAAAATGTGATACAAGCCTGCAAAGGTGAAGTGGGACTGGAAAATGGATGGATGGACAAGCTCATTTCATTTAGATATGCAAATGTATATCTCTGCTTTACATAAATACCGTTGTTGGTTCAGCTAAGCGGTGACCATTTTCATTGCAATATGCAAATTTGAATTAGTACAGCGACACCAAGACAAATTATACTAGCAACAATGCTCACAGGTCATTATTAATTTTTAATGATGACAATTTAAGAATATAGGTGCAATGTAGTAAATGTAACCCTTTGGTGGAAAAATTCTTAATCCAGGTGGCTGCAGTGATTAGTTCTTTATTTTCTGAATCATGTCAAACTCAGAGGAGCAACCAGCATCATTACACTGGTTTTTCACTGGCGTGGTTTCACTGGGATGCTGGAGTCTAAATCCAATTAGTCAGCCAAGGTTTCTGCTGGTATTTAGAAAGGGACAGTGCAGCAAAGCCCTTTGCATGTGAGTCAGCTACGACAGTGACATCATCTCCGGAGGTGGTGGTAAAGGACTGCCTAACTGCCTAAACCATGGACTCCAGCCTTTTGACCAGTGGACCAACCTGCTCATCTGGCAAGCATCATTTGTTGTGCAGATGGTTCGGATCCCAGGTCATCATCATTTCAAGTTCACAGGGGAAGACTTGACCTGACGTGCATTTCAAATTTCTATCCAATATGGAATCTCAAATCAACTCCTAGATCAAAAAACCTGATATTCAAGAACTTCCAGTCAAAAGAGTTCCGATTACAAAGTTAGAGAACATTTACCAGGCCCAGTTTTCCTGTGTTATTTGATATACGTTTGGCTGTCAATTTTGCCAAGTTGTCTCTTATGGAAAGCAAACAGAACCATGACAATAAATGAATGGTACTTGTGCACAGACAAAAATGTACTGCTGTCATTCATTTGAATTATGCTGTTCTTTTTAACTGGGTTCAAACAAATTGATTCCCTTCTGACAACTATATACTCTGCTGTTTATAAAATGTTTGCTGTTAAAGCTATATGGGGAATCCTCAGCACTCAGCTTGGATAAGTGATGACTGTTTTTGTCTACGCACATCAGTTCCTGATAGAACACCATATGTAGCAAACTACAATTAACTATACATTCATTTCAAATATAGATTTTTTGTAGGTCAGGGGAACAACGCAATTTCGATTTTTTTTTTCTTTTTCTGCTGTACCCAGAAAATAGTCCATCATCCCAACCAAACCGTCAGCCTGAGGTGCAACTCAAAAGGTTAACTTCAGATCACAATGCAATCCACAGTCCATTAGAGAGACCCAGTGCACCTACCAGAATGTGGTAAATCAGAGACTTCGTATATTCAGAAAGCATGTAATTTCAAGAAGAAGAAAAACAAGCATTTTGAGCAAAAAAGGTTCGGTAAGTAATTGCCGCACATGGAAACCTCCATGTTTGCAACAGGTAACTAAACCTACTTCACCCAATGCGGTGGACTAAGCAAAGCAACGCATATACGTGATACGGAGCAGTATTTTTTATACTACTTTCCGGCCAGACTTTCACTTCTCCTGCCAAGGGTCTTCCAGATTGCATGTCACTCACTATAAACCCAAAATAACCAGAGGCAAAATGATCTTACATTAAGCCTAGATCCGTTTTTTAATCGATGAGTTAATCCTTGTCAAACAAATAAAAACCATGCATTATAAAAGACCTCCCTGTTGCCATCGCTGTGTTTTGACACAAACAGTAACAGGAGACGTCATTGGGCTTTTTTTGCAGCAGCACGCGGGCCGCCAAGGCCCCTGTCGTCACACACCGAATGTAACGCACTAGCTTCGGACCGTGTGTGTGTTTTTTTTTATACTGCCTATTGTTGCCGGGAGACGAAGGCGTGTCTAGACAGCGACTTAAAAAAATAAGGGAAAGCCCTTCTCGTGCGCTCTGTCACCGGGCTCATTCAGCCTCGCTCTCCATGGCTGCGGCGTTGACAGCGCGCGGAGGGAATCCCTGGGTGCTGCTCGTGCCCTGATCTCCTCGCGTCCCCCGGTGCGACGCGCTCCGCTCCCGTTTTTTGGACGCTACATGTGCCGCTTCTGCAAAAAACACAGCGCGGCGTAGGCAAGCGAGGGCAAAACCCCGCCGGAGAAGACTGGGAAAACAGCTCGCCAACTACAGCCCGCTGCGGCTTTCTTCTAAACAACATATACAATTTACCAAAAAGAGAGAGAAAGAAATAAAAAACAAACACATTTTCATGGATGAGGTGTGTTTTTCTTTCTGGTTAGCGAACTCGCTGACCATTTTGTTTGCTTTCGCTAGCTAGCTAACGTTAGCTGTTTTTTTTTTTCTCAAAGCACCTGACCTCAGCCTGGTATAAGTATTTTTTTGGATATAAAAACCCAGACGAGGAATTGCATTAGCTTGTGTTGTTGGAGGCAGCCATAAATGACTCTGATATGGCTTTAAGTGGAATGCTTTTGCTACCTATTCCTACCTTTGCTAACGGCGCCACTGTCAAGGATAAACCGATGGGAACAGGAACAGTAGTTAACTCGGTAAGAATGAGCAGGAGACATTAATCTTACAGTTTAAACTGATAATCTTTGAATAAAAGCATGCATTTTTTCGTGCAAATGTCTATAACAAGGGGTTCTTGTTCTTTGCTGTGTGTCGTCGTGATCAGAGAAGGAAATGCCTTTTCTTAAACGTTACACTATCTTTGTACTTTGCCGCACTAGACACCAATAAGGGCGTTGACTACACAGTGCTTATTTAAGGGGGATTTTATAGAGTCGCTTATTTCTGCGGATCTTGCCGGAGTCGCATGTTTATTCTAGTGACAAAATAGTGCTATTTTTTAGTGAGGGGCATTTGAGAAGAATTGACTTAGTGGTCTTATTTTCTGTTAGGCACAGAGCCTTTTTTTTTGTAAATCGAAAAAAGTGTTTCTCTACGTCGTTTTTTTTAGTGTTGAGGTGCAGACATTGTTTTTGGGAGATCATTTTAAATTTCTAATAGTGTAATAGTTATTCAAGGTTACTATTTATAAAATTATTAGCTTTGTATACACACGATAGTAATTTTGAAAAGGACTCGTTTACGCCACCTGAAATCACAGTGAAACCAGTTATCACGGGAAATTGTGTATCACTTGTTTACCTTGAGCACTACACTTATTTTTTTTCCTGCAGGTGATACACGATAGATTAAAAACTGTGATTTTAAATAGCAGAATCAGTTTTATTTACAGTTATGCATTTCCGTAGTAGCTGCTTATTTGCATGGTTATCTATATAACTTAACTGAGGGCTCTTCTCTCAGAGATGGAAGGAAGAATTGTCCCACTTGAGACGGCCGTGTGTGTCCTCTGGCAGTGGTATTGTCAATCAAGACCCCGCTTTGGCCACTTCCAAGGAGGAACCTGAGGATCTGGACCTGCTAGACTACGACTTCATCCTATCCAACACCATGCAGCAGCATCAGGAGAGCCTGGGTGGTCCCTCCCAGAATCCGGCCCCTTCTCCGGGCTCCTACACTTACCAGCTCCCCTCGCCTCAGGGGGCATCCAGCAACGGCCCGTTCGGGATCCCAGACATCAGTGACGTGTCCCCCTCAGGTGGCTTTGTGGCAGAGCTCATGCGACCGGACCTTGACCCTGCTTACCTGCAGCCCGCCAACCTGCATGGGAAGTTCGTGGTGAAGACCACCATGGACATGGCTGAGTATAGCCAAGGCACTGGCAGCGGCAAAGGTGGCATCACCCAGGAGCCCTCCATGACCTTCACCTGCTGTGGGATCAAGCAGGAGAACCTTGGCTCCTGCACCATTACCCGACCCATGGACATCCGCCCATCTGGCCCCAGTAGTGCCCAGGGGCCCCAGCTTGAGCCTTGCAGCTTCTCCCCCGGACGATCTTTGCCCCCAGAGAATGTCCTAAACCGAGAGCTTCGGCCTTCCCCGCGGCCCCTGGGGCGTCCCCAATTGTCCGCTCCCCCCAGCTATCCAGCCCAGTCTGGCTATCCTACTTTCCAGCAGCCTCCCACTATGCAGTACCAAGGTTGGTCATCCTGCATTTGCAAAGCATTTAAAACGCTCAGGCACGACGCTCACCCGTGTGTTTCTTGAACCCCTAGAACTGGCGTCCCCTGGAGGCGGTCTGCCGGACGACACCAAACCAAAACGAGGGCGACGCTCCTGGCCTAGGAAACGGATAGCCACTCACACGTGCGACTACGCCGGCTGCGGCAAGACTTACACCAAGAGCTCCCATCTGAAGGCCCACCACAGGACGCACACAGGTAAGCTCTGCAGGATGTGATCTCAGAGAAGGAGTGTGGATTCAGGAGGGGGGGGGGGCACGAAGAGATGACTCTCGTACCTGCATATGGGAATCGATGATCTGCCCGTATTAATAGCCATAACATGCACACTTCTGATTTAACACATTAGCTTTGCTAGAATGTGTCTGTAAACCTTGATTAACATTATGAAGGTAGAAGATTCTTTCTCACACTGCAGTCAGTAGATGGAAACATGTTTCCAAAATTACATGGCAAGATTTGGAGAACATGCAGGACAGCAGAGAATAACAGGGTGTTGAAAGCCATGTGATACAGAATCTTAGAGGGTAAAGGCGGTAAACTGCCTCCCCATTGAACTTTGGAGGGTGTTTCTATTCCAGCAAACATCTGTTTGACAACATGACATTAATTCCAGACTCGCCGGGAATGTGATGCAGGTGGCTGCACTGGCTGATGATTGATAGCGTTAAATTTTTAAATATTTATATTTAGAGCATTGCCGTAAGTAGCTGACAAATTTGAGACGTGACCCTGTGAGCGAACAGCGTTAAGCGAACACCTGTGGGTCCGTGCGTCCTCGTGTGGGCTGGGGTTCCTTTGGAGTGACACTGACGGTGCGGCGTTGGCTGCTTGTCGTGAAGGTGAGAAGCCGTACCACTGCGACTGGGACGGCTGCGGGTGGAGATTCGCCCGCTCCGACGAGCTGACGCGGCACTACAGGAAGCACACCGGCCACCGCCCTTTCCAGTGTCAGAGGTGCGACCGGGCCTTTTCACGATCAGACCACCTGGCTCTCCACATGAAACGGCACCTTTGAGGCGGGACGACGTGTTGCCGTTGGGAAGGGGGGGGGGGGGGGGGGGGGGGGGGGGGGAGGCGTGGGCTCTGCTACCAGACTGGCAACCACATACCCAATTGCTGCCTTTGAACAATCCCCACACGGAACGATAGCAGTTGTTGTCCGTGGCCAAGGTGGGGTGCTATGGGTATGGTGGGGGTAGACGGGTTAAGGAAGGGCGGGGGGGGGGCATAGGAAGGATTTATGCTTTCTGTCTTCCGTGGTACCGAGTGTCACTCAAGATCTCTGCCATTGTTTCCTTTGTGTTTGTTATTGTTATTGTGTTGTTTTATTTCATTTTTTTTTTTGGTCAATATCCCAAGACTGAACTGGAATTTTTATTGACAAGACTTGGAAAACCAAGTGCCAAAGTATGACTGGAAAATACATGGAGATAAGGGTTGGGGAACTTTGGGGGGGGGGGGGAAGCAGGGGGGCACACAGAAAGTGAGACACAAGCTGACACAAACAGAAGGGACTCCCCAACAGCAGCCACATTCCATTGCCTTTTCCTAGAGCACACTGTTCAACATCTTGTATTAGACATATATTTTTATAACGTTATTGTAAGCCATTATTTTTTTACAAACATTTTTATATCAGGTACAGAAGTAACTTATAGTTTATCTAATAGTCCTCTGAGACATAAACATATTTAAATATGAGTGTGGGAGGGAAAAAGAAATGGACATTCTCATTTAATTGTTTATTTTTTTTTTCTTAAGTGCTGTGTGGTTGATTTGAGACCTTCTTCACTTGCGCTTATTCACGGCAATGCCGGTCTTGGCTGCATTGTGATTGTAAAGTGCAATAACCTCTAAATTTATTCATTATATGAAGCACTTACCAAAAATAACTTTGAACAAAGTTTGTGTTTATAGACAAATTATATAATATAATGCTGAACTGATATTTAGATTTGTACATTTTAAAATAAATGCATTTTGTTTAACGGTAATTTTGTGATGCTTAAAAATGTCTCAAAATTACATTTTAAACATTTTGTCTCCTTTACTAGTGAATTAATAGTAAATATACAAATATATACTAATATTGATGGACAATGCAGTATGTACAAACCAAATAGCACTGTTTGAAAAGAAAAAAAATGTCTGCCTTGCATTTATTCAGGTTTCTTTAGGGTATTAAATTGAATAATGTACCTTGAGTGTTACATTATGGTGCTGAATGTTTTAAATATTAAGAAGAAACAATCGTTGGAAAAGTCTGTTTACTCAAGTTGACATAAACTAGGTGGGACGTAATGCATATCCATTCAATCATCTCTGGACTGGATGAACCTTAACTGGTTACTGGGGGAAGCACAGTGGCCTCACAGCTCTCACGTTGTGGGTTCACCCCCCCCCTGCTGTACGTGTGCGTGCAGTTTGCATGTTCTTTGTGCAGGTTTCCTCCAGAAACATGTGTTTTGAGTGAATAGGTGTTTCTAAATTAACCGTAGTGTGTGATCGTGTCCCACGATGGACTGGCCACCCATCCAGGGTGTCTCCTGCCTTCCTGTCTCTGCTAGGATAGGGCCAGGCTTGCTGCAACCCTATAGGAGATAAGGGACTATGGAAAATGGATGGATGGATGGAAATACAGTTCATATAAATTCTGTGAAAATGTTGAACATGGCAATTATTGCTGGTTCCTTTTTTTCAAAACACTCGTTGTCATTTCATTATTATTTAGCATGTCTGTCAATAAAATGCACCTACATAGTGGATTCGTCACATTTATATGTGTTTTCAGTTTAAACAACTGGTATGACTCAATTACAAACACGCTAAATTTGGAAACAATGCATCAGTATGTTTACATTGCTAATTATGTCACCGACACAAGAGCTAGCAAAATATGTCATACTAAAATGATCTAAATACCAAGTTTCATGCAGCATGGATGGAACCATGCTCATATCCGGTGTTTGATGTTTTGAGAAGCACAACTACATTTCTTTATGATGTCACTAACAGGGCATTTAATAACCCAGATGCTTTTGACAAAATTCCCCGACTTTTCATAGTTACACAATGTCCGACCTCTAAAAGAAGCATCATTCCCTGTTTTCCTGTACACTACAATAAAGGCAGCGCAGCATTAGGACAACGACTCGATAAAATCATCTGAGCAGCCATTACTTAAATTTCTTAAGGCACAGTCAAGCCACAAATGATCACATTGAATTTCATATTGATGAAGTCAGCGTGGCCATCAAGGTTTGTTAGCCTTAAATCCCCCCAGTTGCATTTAGGAACACAGCAGTACAACAGAGACTCAGACTGGCCTGTTAGCAAAGACATTAAAGGGAGGCAAATACACTCTGCAGAACCATATTGGAAATCTGATTTACTTCTCCCATGTATATTCATCTCATTTCTTCTCATCCTGCCTTTCCAAAATGTTGGGTCACTGTTTTGAATAGCGGGGAACCTTACTGTCCCCCGACGGCCGCAAAAATGCAGCGGCACCTCATCACGGAGAGTCTCGTGCAAAATGCATTGTGCTGGAGAACTTTATCTTTTTGACCTCTGTAGTTGGTCTAATATTGTGTGAGCACATAGTTACAAACGTCATAGCCCTGATACAACAGAGTTTTTTTATTTATGCGCCAGTTAATTTCATCACGATAGGCATATCATTTGTTTGTATCTAAGAGCAACCAAGGAGAATCCATCCACTTGAAAGCCAAAAACAAAATTCCCATTTAACATCAAAAGCTAGATATGGAGCGTTTGCAGTGATTATGAAGCTGCAGTTAGGCAAATCACGCCGGTCGTTTCTCATCTAGCTTTAATGTTTTGCTGCCTGCATCTCCTCTATGTGCACTGCTGCGATTCACCGCGCTGCTAGCAAGGTTCTTTCTGCACTCTTCACAACACGGCAGTGTTAGGGAGGGAAGGCATCTCTCGTTGGAAACTTAACAAGTGCTGACACGTCACGAGGAAGCCCCGAGAGCTGGCACGCTAAGGTACCAGAGCACTGAAAATCCAGAAACCTTCGGGGTCTGCTCGCCTTTACACATCTGCTCCTGTTAACACGCAGTCTCACCTGCGACCTGCCGCTACAGCAGATCTCCGACACGACAGACCATTTCAGATCTCGTTCCAAGCCAAAAATAGTGCCGACTGCTATCACCAGAAACTCATCTCGGTGCCATCATTTCTGCTATCCCCTCTGTTTCCGACCTCAGCAGATTTCACTGCTGCCCATGTCCCCGTCTGCTGTGAAGCGTAACCAAGCCGTAACCTTGGACCCTATAGCTACCTAGAATTACTTCAAAGCTTAACAGCTGAACTAGTGCAAAATCAGAGGTGGAATCCACAGGTCATATGCCCTCTGAGCCGACCAGAATTTGGCACCCACCTGCTTACTGCACAATTACCTGAAAATGAAAATAAAACAGGGTATTTGTTTTGTCCTTGCAAACAATTCTATTCCTTAAAAGGTCATATTTTAAACAGAAATGAGTCATATGCAGGTAAGCATAATGCAAACATGTAGGTGCGTGTTGGGAAAGCAGGACAAACAGCACAACTGCCAAGACCAGCAAATTTAATCAGTTTACATCGTGAGACCAGTGCCATCATGAGGACAAACTTGAAACTGCAGGATCAACCCCCTGACTCCAGGCAACCAAGCATCGCAAAACAAACTGAAGCAGAACCCATTTTTTAGTAATTCGGCCGGACAGAATTCCTGGTTCATTTAATTTCCTCTTAATTGATATTAATTTCATTGTCTCAATGGGGTAAGTTTTTATATTTATGTTTTGTGTCCAGTTAATCCTAGATCAGTAAATTTAGGGACGTGTTTTTATATACATTTTATGTTACATGTTCAAAAAATTAATAATCAAGGCAAGTATTCAATATATCCTTAACAGGAGGGGACAGTCGTCTCGTAACACAAGCCTGGCTAACTGACTTCAAAATGTGTGTGTATTTTGTAGCTGCATATGCACTGTCAGTATTGTGACATCTCCAGCTGCCTTGAGGTCTAACACAAAAGGGCACCCCAGCATTTACACAAAAATCTGATAATAGCCAGTAAGACAAATGAAACACTATCAGAGCACAGAAACACAGTGGTGGTGGAAGTTCTTCTCCCCCTCTTTTTAAATAAAGCAGATTAAAATTGATACACCTCAATAATACCCACAATCCCAGAGGCACAGGGTAACCAGATCAAACCACAATGGAGTCATTAACATGCAAGGCACATCAACAGCCATTTAATTGCAACAGAAGCAGTGCCATTTACTGTGCAATTTGCATCACTCCAGGAAGCTAATGATCCAGTCACACTGGAATAGCAGCGATAGTAGAACACTTCACGGAACATAATGTGGGATCAGTTTCGGGGGGGCAGGCAGGAGTAAGACAATGGAGCCTATTTGGTATGAGAATTAAAAGGAAAATTCGACAATTGAGTTGAATAAATATCTGTGCATATGATTACCACTTCATTTGTGTTACGCTCCCAAGAAATCATTCAGCAGTCTGACAGTGTGTGGAGAAAATGAGCACTTTAAGTAAAAACAGCAAGGTCCTCACCCCACCCTCCCAAGAAAAAGTTCTCAGTACCAAAAAGCTCCTGGTGAGCCAATTTTATCCAAAAGCAAAAATCATAAATGTTTTGGATTGACCACGTAAGAATAAGCACATCGGAATGTGAACAACCAACACGCCTTCTGCCCTAAATCATTCACACTGCTTGCATCTCTGATATTAGGTACAGTATTATGATATTAGGCCGTGGTTACTGTGGCAGAACATCGAAACTGATGCTAAACAGCAGACAAACTCACGAGAAAAAGTACACAGTAAAGGGACAAACGGTGGTTTTCAAACTTTTACTGGTCATTAAAGTAGCTTTCAAACAGTATGTAGGTCCCATTGTTAAATTGGCAAATAAAAAAAAAAAATGTAAACAGGAACAATGAGGATGGGAGTTCAACAGTCCTTGAGTACATGTCCTAGAATCTCAGGGGGGGGGGGGGCAGGATTGTACATTTATTCAGTGA